TAATAAGGAAATTAAGTATATTACCCCAGGACAGATCTAAATATGCAAAAAAAAAAAACTCTGCTATTAATACATATGGATGACAGATTGGAAAAAAAAAAATGTCTATTACATTAATAAGTGGAGTTATATTAGGTTTTAACTTTGCTGCTGCCATTGTTTTCAGAATCGTAATTTTATGGGAAGAAACTAAAAGGATAAAAGTGAGTAACAGAAACACCAAAGGACCAAAGTGTTTCATGATTTTATATTATATTATTAATTTGTTAATACAATCAATATTATTTAGCCCCGTTGGCGTATTAATTATTATTATATTTAAAATATTATATTTAGGATTGTTGTGGTGATGGATGTATGCCCAAAGTAATGTATATTTCACTCTTATTGTCCGGAGCGAAGCGGAGGACTCGTATCTCTATACGCTTTGATGACCGAAGTTACGATTTTAATGCATTTAATAAAACTATCAAAAAGTAGCTTTGGCATTTTAGTCTGTCTATATTTGTACATTGTGTAAAAACTAGGAACCGGAAACCAGTTTAAGCCCGGAGCTCATTACACAACGCGTAAACATGCCAAATATAGACACGCGGCGGAAATGCCAAACTACATTTTTAATATTTTTATTATAAATGCGTCAAAATCGTAATTTCAGTCACCAAACTGCATAGAAATACGAGTCCTCCGCTTCGCTCCGGACAAAAAATTATGCATGTTTACGCGTTTGTGTAATATGACAATCATGAGCTCCAGACTTAAACTGGTTTCTGGTTCCTAATCTTATAATATGATAATATTAATGATATCAATTTTAATAGCATTTGTTTTTGTACATTTAGGGTGCAACCTGTTGTGATGACAATGGCTATTGTGAAGGAGTAACTATGACATTATATTATTAACTCATTATTTGGTCCTGTTGGCATATTAATTATTATTATTATATTTAGGATTTGCCTATTTGTTGTAGTTCTACATGTATGCCTTCTCAAGTAATATATTTCACTCTTATTTTATAATATGATACACTTGAATCTCGATAATATCAACCCATTTGGATCACACTTATATTAATGTTGATAGTGATATTAGTGAGGGATCATAGTAAAGTTGATATATATGAGAGAATTTTGATATA